ATAAAAGTTTGAGAATATAAAATTAAATTATCAATAAAAATATAAAATATATTTTGATTTTATAAAGTAATTTAAACTTCTTTTAAGAGGTACTACCGTCCCAACCTCTCTCAAATTTTATTGTGTACATACCAAACTTTAAAAATAATTTGTGATTTTTTTACATATTTATAGAAATATTATCACCATAAAACACAATAATTGACAATGACTGTGCAAATTCCAATTGTTAAATGATGATAGTATTATCTTTCCAATAATAATAATTATAATAATAATGTTTGAGAAATAAGTAAAATTGGCAGAATTCATAATGTTTTATATGTATATACACTAAAATGACTAGTAACCTAGTGGTATTCCTGACAGCTGACAAGACACATACGTCAACAAGTTACTTTTTGTTATATTATTTTCATCACTGAAATTAACAAGGCGAGGGGGGCAATCATGAGTCCTTCCGCATGCCTATCCTTAAAGTTGGGGATTTCCCCCATAAATCAGGGTACTTAATCAAAGTATAAAGACGGGATAAAAATAATTTATTTTCATTTAAATTTGCAAATATTTTAAAGTATATTATATTTATATTACGTTTAATTCAATAACGTTATCATAAATAATATTATAATTAAAATTATGAAAAAATAGTAAATATAAATTTTGAAAAATATTCATTTAGTTCAACCAATCACTAATTAATTTAATAGAATAAGTAGTTAATTTTTTTATTAATTTAAGGTGATTACAATGTAGTATCTGTTATAAAGATTCTCAATCATTTAACAATAAAAGCTTAAGCACCCTTACAATCTCTTGTACTAGAACCTAAAACCTATAGGGATAACAATTATCACTTTAATTACTGAGATAAATTGATTCGTGTAGTAAGTTCTTAAATTTTTTAACATTCAGATTTTAAATTTTATATATAAATAATTAAATTGAAAATCTTCAAACCAACATGGTTGATTTAGGTGGTAAGTAGCTTGGTATAATTTATACATGTTTCGAGTTCAAGGCTTTGTGTTTATATAAAATCTTCATCGAAAGATTTACCTACCAAAACTAGATGTGCAACAAAAATCAGATCGAACTAGTCAAGACAAAACCTTAAGGGTGACAACAAAATTTAATGATCTCCAAACCTATAATTTAATAACAAAATTTAATAATGTTATCCTATTAGGTTACTTTCTGAATTAATTCCTATATTTTAATAAAGTATAAAGATAACATTTTAAAATTTAGAGACACTAAAGATGAAAACGAAACAAAGAAAGGAGTTGGAAATTAAACAATTTATTAATATAAGATTAAAAACCAGTATAAATTGATTATATCAAAAGTTTATTAAGAGTATAACTTTTTAAGTTAAATAAAATAATATTTTTAGTTGTAATTAAAAATATTACATTTTTCACAACATTTTAAATTCAACAAAATAACATTTTAAGTTGAACAAAATCATCTTAAATTAAATTTTACCACAACAAAACTATTGGAAAGGAGTGGAGGGGGGAAAGGTTGGGAATGGGCAGCAACAAAGAATGATGATGATGATAATAATATAGTATAAGAGGAAGAGTTAAAAGTGAAGGATAGTGGAGGGCAAATGCATGAGTGATGGAGCATGATAATGGCGGTGCGGTGGCTGGCTGTTTCTGAGATCCGAAGGTGGTGGCCACTAGCCATGGCACATCCACTTTTCCCTTTTTCTTATTTATTTATTTATTCCCTTCCTCCATTCCATTTTTCATGGATGATAACCATGTCAAATATAGGCAATTGCCTTCCAACATTACCACTAAAACACACACGCGCGCTTACATCTAAGGTTTCAATTATTCATAAGAAACAAAACTCAAAACCAAATGTGAGACAATAATCACCAAGTGAAACACCTCGTGTAGAGTCTCTGCACCTATCATTTCTTTCCTTTTTTTTATTATTCTCGCTTGCTGAACCTTTGTTTATGTTTATTTTCGTAAAATAATAGGATTTAGCTCTGGATTGCCCATTTTTCATTCCAGGGTTTATCTGAATTTGAAAGTTATCACTTAGTAGGTTTCCATACCAAGGTTCAATCCAATTAAGTCCGTAGCGTCTACCAATTTCGCCATATCCCCTTTGTGTCTTGAGTTTAGGATCTCATTATAGGAAGCCCTCCCCCCTTTCCTAATCTCCACACAATTATTTTAAAGAATTTATTCCTATTTAGACGATACTTTTTTTAGAATAATTTGAAAATAAGATTAAAACAGTTCTTCGATTTAAGAGATTATAACATGTAGTCTATTTTTTTAAAGAAAATGTTATTAAATAGAATTTAAATTTATGATTTTATTTAAAAAAAATTAATGTCTCAATTCATTGGATTAGACCGAACATAAAATAAATAAAAAAGGGAAAATAACATGACCCCTAAACTATTGCAAATCTTCTTATTATATATGTTCTTAGAAAACGTAAATTTTAGTTACCTATAGTTTCATTCCATTTATTAAGGTGGTTTATGTAGCGACAATATCATGTAACATTGCTTAATATCATGTGACAAATCAAAATTTATTTTGATTTCATAGTTTTAGAAGAAACTAACATATGGCCCCACTAGAGGATGACACATTCTAATTTTAACCTTTAAAAATAATTTTCTTTTGACAAGTGGCATCATTATATGACACCAAGTGTTAAATTGTGATTGAAGAAGTATGTCAACTTACGAGAAATTATTATATGGATTTGGTTCACCACGTCATCCATAGTCTCAGCCAGTAAGTTCAATCCATCTTAAAATAACTTTCAAATAATTATCTACTTTTTATTTATTTGTAGGAAAAAGGTGAAGATTCACCTCCAAAAAATTAAAATAAATGAATTTTATAAGTTGAGACAACGAATGACACAATGAGCCAAATCCATCTAATAAAATTTTCAACTTAACACCATTACCATTTTAATAGATGAAAATGAATTTGTAAGTATCAAAATGGAAATTCTTGAATAATTGTACCATATTGAAATATTTTCTATAGTGTAAGGGCCATTCATGGCATTGTCCCAAGAGATATAAATTGGAAACGGTGTCGTGTAGAATGGAAATTTTGTCAGTCACTCTTCATAGGCGTCGGATTATTTTATTAAAAAAAAGAGAGAGAAACAAATTTCTTCGTTTCGTTTTGTGTTACTGAGAATATTTTTTAGATCTATTGATTCACCATTCGAATTTCTTAGGGGGGAAAAAGAAAGAAATGGCTGGAAACCCAGATCACTTGTTCAGTTTGAGGAATGATTTATATTTGGGTTCGTACCAAGTTGCCATCAACAACAGCGATATTCCCCATCTCTCAGCCGATGACGCAGTCGAGCGCGACTGTATCGTCTATCGCTCTTACATCGCCCTCGGCAACTATCAAGTATTTCCAGCACTCCCTCCTTTTTCATGTCAATTGTATTTCTTCTCTCTAAACGATTTACAGTTTCTGAAAATTTTAGCTGGTGATCAGTGAGATCGATTCCTCCGCTGCCACTCCTCTTCAAGCCGTTAAATTGCTCGCTCTCTATCTCTCCAACCCTCACGATAAGGTTGAAGTTCCTTTCAGACCTGCTTCGTTTTCTTTTTTGTTACATGAATGATCTGTAATTGAATGAGGTGTTTTATGATTAGGAATCAACAATTTCCAGCTTGAAGGAGTGGTTGGCAGATCCAGCAATCGGAAACAATGCCATCTTAAGGTTGATTGCTGGAACTGTTTCATGCACGAAGAAGATTATAATGAGGCTCTTAAACACACCAATGCTGGTGGCACTATGGAACTGTGAGTTGTCCCTGATCGCGTGTATAATTGTGTGTTGTGTCACATAATTCTATGCAAGTATACACGATCGAAGTAAGTAATATAATAGTAAATGATTTATTGTCTCCACAGGATTAGTGGGATTTTTTTATGATTGCTATAGCTAGAACTAGGTGTCACTTACTAGTGTGTAAGATTCTTGTATAATGGTATTCACAAAGGAAAAACAAGTAGTAGAAAACAGATGGAAAAAGTATGGCCAAAGCAAAAAAATTGTAAAGTGAAGTGAACAGAAAATTTTTGTGATGGCGAGAAAAATATGCGAAGGTTAACAAATAAAAGTTGTCAAGGCAAAAAAATGTTTAGTTCAATATATTCTAAAAACTAGGATGATTTAGTATGCTTTGCCTATGCTGCCCGACAGGATTTACTAGAGTGTTTCTAGAACTTTTGCTAGGGCAATACTACCCAGCCTGAACTGCATCCCTTGGTTTGTCAAACTGTTGTTGCGGCAATATCCCTCAGCGTAAACTGTATCTCTAGCCTATCTACTCAAGCATTTACCCTTCTTAGTCGAATGAAACCCTCTTCTTATCTCTAAGGCGGATTAGAATCTCAACATCTCGGACTAGTTCCCTTGTTCACCTAGATCTAACCTAACTCTTTCGAATATTAGGTATAACTCCTAGAAAAATGACAATCTTTCAAAAGCTCTTACAAAGAGTAGGAATGTTTTGCCGTGGCACCAGACAATCTTTCAAAAGCTCTTACAGTATCAAGGTAAAAGATTAAAACAATGAACAAAACAACATTCAACAAAACATACTTAATCATTCATTAACAATCGAATAAAGTATCATTTAAGCATTTCCGACACCAAATAAAACAGTTTATGGTGTGACAAACATCATCCCAAAAATAATCTTTAAATACAAGCCCTTAAATGATATGAAAATTAATAACAAGAGGGGGGAAACTCTCATAACAAAGCTCTGCCGTTACATCAGACCACGACCATGATTGCTCCAACGGCCAACCTCTCTCGAGGGTCTGGCCACTGCTATGGCGAAGCCTGGCTATGGAGGGCATCAAGGATGGTCGAGTGGGGAACGGTGGAAAAGGATTTGTTGCAGACGCCTTTCTCCAAGCCTCACTTTTAGGGTATGTTCTCTCCTCCTCCCTTTAGGGTGGTATAATAAGATATTTATAGTGGGAATTTCTAGGGTTTAGTGCCCTTAGAAATTCCCTAAATACCCTTGGTTTCGTGCCCATTGTGTGAATAATATGGCAACTGGTAATGGTCCCAAATTCCTTAGTAGGGGCGGCATGGTTTCACGTGAGATGTATTGGACAGCTGGCCAAGTGATGTCAGCAGTTTTGTCTCGTGTTGCGTCAAACTTGTGAGATAAAAACTCGCATTGGCAACAAAATTTGTTCCACTGGCCCTAGCAAATTAATTTGTCTCGGCAAATAAATTCTTCCTCAGTCATTTCCTGCATCATCAAAACCAACAAACAACCCTTCTCCTCAGCAGCATCAGTTTAGTTAAATGAACTTTGCCTCGGCGAAACTTATATTCCACATGCAAATATGTCCTGAATGCAACTATATGCAACTAAAATGCTATGTCAATGGCTTTTAGACAATCAATAACTTAAGTAAAAAGACCTAAAATATAGTCTTTTTACGGAGTTATCAGTCCTTTGACTTGATTTTTCTCTGTCTCATCCTAGTTTATATTACGTCTTAATTATATTTTTTTTACTTCGTTTATTATTCTTTGTTTAGTCAAATTTGTGAACGTTTGTTATGAACTGTAATTATCTGCCATGCTTAACCGTAGGTCTGATCATTTGATCTTTAGGCTTTTAGGTTCAAGTGTCTTAGGTACAGAACGAATTATTGTGTTTTCAGTTCTCTTAGATAGGGTAAAGACTGGTAAGAGAATAAAAGCTCTTGGTGGAGAAAAGCTCTTTGAATTGGTTTTTAAGCGTGGGGATTGGGCTTTTCATTTGTATAAAAAGATGATATGTAACTGGTTCAGTACACAAATATCAATTGCTCCCAATTTCCAGTTCATTGAATACACTAGAGTATATATTCTAAGTGATGTGCTTTATTTATTCTTCTCTTTGCAAAGAGAAAAATAAATGACCCACCGGGATTTAATGGTTCGAAATAGATGCAATTGCTACAAATTTGAGTTATCCCAGTTCATTTTAGTTTATACCAGCCTAACATTGAAAGTTATAATTTTAAATGCAAAACACATATCAGAAAAGATTTAGAACCAAACAAACAAATGACATTTTTGAAAAAAAATTCAGATAGGATATCTCTTCAAAATACAAGATACCACAGGAATGGGTTAGCAAAAACTACAGTGAGTAATTAGGCTCTTATATGTTGCAGCTGATTCCTACCTGCTTAATGTATATATTTTGAAATAGAAGGAACCGATGCAGTATGTTTATTCTGTTCTCAATTTTGTTTGGTGGGTCGAAATAACACGGAGTCTTTATAGTTTCCAGCTTTTGACAACCTGATGGGACTTGTTAATAATGTTAGTTGTAACCTTAAGCCAGTATTTACCGTAAATGCAATTTTCAAGTGGTTCTGTCTTTGATGTTGAGTTATTATGGAATATTTTTTTCCGCAAATATACTTACAGGTGCAAATCAGGAGCTGATGTCCAATTCCACTAGAAAATATGTTCCTTCAAGTGAGTCTCTTGAAAGGCCTATGTTCCTTCTAGTGAGTCCTTTGAAAGGCCTAGGTTCCTTCTAGTGACTGTTTTAACTGCTAAAGCAAAAAACTGAGTGATTTATACATATACAAGGCAAATTGGAAACTCTGATACATCTGATGAAGTCATTGTGCTCTATGCTTTCAGGCATGTGCTGAATGTGCAAATATTCATTAAGATGCACCGGTCAGACTACACAGAGAGACAGCTGAGGGTCATGCAGCAGATTGACGAGGATCATACACTGACACAACTTGCAAATGCATGGTTGAACCTGGCAGTGGTATGGGATATTTTTCATTTTAATAGCATTATAAATGAGAAACCATGGATGGTTCAGTGACATTATTCTACTCTATCAGGGTGGTTCCAAGATACAGGAAGCTTATCTGATCTTCCAAGATTTCTCTGAGAAATATCCTATGACTGGATTGATCCTCAATGGGAAGCCTGTCTGCTGTATGCATATGGGAAACTTTGATGAAGCTGAAACACTTTTCTTGAAGCACTTAATAAGGCAAGTTTATATTGTGGCAACTTTTGTTTCTCGAAATTCAGACTTGAAAATTCTCAATTCTTTTGGTGTTTGTTTATATCTCCAAGAACAAGATTGGATACGACTGTAGTGTTTCATGATTACAATTACTGTGCCCCCTGCCCCTCACAATCCTGTCAATTTTTAGATTTTGGATTCATCATGAAGCTGAATAGTTCACCCCAAAGTTTTATTGCTTCGAAGCAGTTAGTCGATACTCAAATGTGTTTAGTGCATGTGATAAGGGTTTGTTTCTAAACTGATACAGGATGCAAAGACTCCCGAAACTCTTGCCGACCTGGTTGTATGCAGTCTTCATCTGGGTAAACATCTTCACGTTACGTAAGGTAAACTACCTTCTTATTTCCTCTATTTTTGAGTTTTTTTCCTCTTGGCTATTTGATTATATTTTCCTAAGTGCTCTATAAAATAGTACAAAATGCTAGTTTGGTTGATCAAAAAGAGTCCAACATGTTCAATTGTGTATCTCTGAACCTGCTAGCCAAACACCTATGTTTTTATTCTGGTCTGCCAAAGTTGGCAACATATGTTATCCATGTCTTTGTAAACTGAGATTTGACCATCCTTTTTAATCATCACAGTCCTTATTTTGGTTTTATTTTTTCAGTTGATATATTTGGTTTCAATGTATTTTATCTTTTGAAGCTAAGGCTTGGAAAATTTCAATTGTGCGGCTTTAGTTCAAATTGTGTTTGCTGGTGCTAATCAGGATTTTGCTCACCAATTTATTGTAAAATCTGCTTTTTTATGTTAGCTAGTTGCTTTGTTTGCTTTTCCCTGCTCCTAATAAGGGGTGATGAAGATGGCAGAGATTCCTACCTTAAATCAATTGAAAGTGCTGACTCTTTTAATATATATTAAGGTTCGGCAAGATAGGTTTTTCAAAAGTTTTTACCTCATCTTTTGAGGGACAGTTATGGTTCCCATCAATGCAGTACGCTATCAACCAATTCAATGGAGTGGACATCTAAGCCTTCAATGCACATAGATCACTTTAATTTGCATTTGCCCTTTTTCTTTGAAGAACATGTCAAGTTGACATGCAAATTACACATACTGTGGTATGCACTGAGCTGAGTTGTGAGTGGCACTCTATAGAATTAGGTTCCCCGGGTAGAGTGAAAAAGATTATGTAGTTTTCCATGGCCAAAATATTAGGGAATTTTAGTGTCCCTGTCCCTGATCAGTGAGAGTTCAAGTAATATGCATACATTGTTAACAGTATCTTCTTTTGTTATTTGATAGGGATTCATATATTCTTAGCGTGCAAAACTACTTCAACTCTTGCAAGTTAAATGGCATTTTTCGAATGAAGAGAACAAAATGTTGGATGTTCTCTTAATCTAGATGTAGTTTGCATGGCATCTTTGCTCCTTAATGCTCCACAATTTGATTGTTGCCCTTAATTCTACCTTTGAGGGTCCATACTTCAAGCCTTATCGCTAATTCCTCCTGTAAAGAAATTTGTAGACTAACGTCTTACTTTTCCGATGTTGATGCTCTAGATCTTAACCGAGTTGCCGCATTCATGATTGATGATAATTGCAAATGCCCCAATCCTTACCTTGTAATGTTCAATATGAATGCAGCCAATCGAAACTCACATATCTGGTTAAGCATGCATCATCAGCAGAAGACAGCTTTGAAAGAGCAGTGCAATCAGTTGCTTGAAGATGTGGAGTTGGTTTCTGATAAAAGGTACATTGGTGCCTGTTTACTCTCCTCTGGGTTCTGCAACTTACCGGAATCAATATATATTCCGTCTGTTGACGAAAGAGGTTAAGCTTTTAACTATACTAGATTGGTATTGTTCGGGTTATTACCAAGTAAATGTTTCCATTTAGTACATTAAGAGTAAAATATGGAATTGATGCAAAATCATCAAAAATATATATATATTACAAATAAAAATCTCACTTATTCCAGCAAGCAACTGGAATTCAGTACTGTGATACTCGAATTTGGCTCGACAGGTAGTTGAAGCTGGATAGAAAAATGAGGCAGGCCAACGATGAGAATTAATCCAGAGACTAGGAAAGAAGAAAAACAATTGAAGTATATTGGTGTCCAATAATAGTGGAGGTGTGTTGAAAAAACTGAAGGTATTTTAGTGGAGTGAACACTGTTAAATTGCACCCTGGTCAAGGCCTTGTCAATTCCATAAACAGCAGTCAATCTCTTGCACGCCAATCAGCACATTTTGAGTCTTTGATGTGTGCATATTTTTTTCAAGCAGGACAGGAGCAATAATGAGCTAAGCATAGCCGTTTAAATACCTTCTATCCCCAAGTTGTGCGCACGGCCACTATCATCCACCCCGACATATACCAAAATTTTCTTGGTATCTGGTGTCCAAATTGAACCACTGAAATGGCCTAAACATACCCCATGACCCAAATCATGATTTGACTTGAGGTGGTGTGTCAATGTTGATTCACCACCTCTTAATTTTTCCTCCACTCTTGTTTGTGACTTTGTGAAATTTCCTTCAATTAACCAAACCCCGTGCAAACCGCCAAGGGGAGATTTCCATAATCAAGTTTTTTTTGGTTTTCTGCACAAACTTTAATTTATTTTTATAAACATTTTTATTCATTCATATTTATTTAATGAAAAATATTTTTGATTCGTTAAATTCTTAAAGATATAATTGTACCAAAATTAAATTCTATATATACCCATGGATGTAGCCATTATTAAATATTGACAGGGGTCAAAATGTTAGAATATTTAAGAAAAATATAAAGACTTATTAGGTATTTAAACTCGAAATTCAGCATAGCGATCTTAGTGATTAAGAGATTGTTGTTATACTTGAGATTCCGAGTTCAAGCACGTATGTAGGGGTTTGAACGTTCATTGTCAAATAGTTGAAAGTCTTTATACATATATTGCATTGTATTCACCTT